AGCTAACCATGGCAACAAGTCAAGAAAGAAGGACATAGCGTAGCAGCGTGCCCAACTTGGGGGGCGGCTCTGGCGGTGCGCTCAAGGGCGCTACTGGCGCGTGCAGCACTCACTCCGAGCCGCAAGGGGCGCTTGCCCCACCTGCACAAACAACTTACAGCAAGGTTGCCGCCGAGGCAACAAAGCACTTCGAACCAAGGCCAGGCTCCCCCCCAAGGTCCTTCGAACGCGAGGAGCCGATGGTCATGTCACGCCAAGATACTCCTTGGCATGCCAAGGCATGTCAATCTTGACTCAAACATGGTAATTCCGCTTCCGCGGAAGAGGATGGAGAAGTGGCGCAAGCTCAGGCGCCCCCCCCAATTGGATGAGAGGACAGTACTTGCCATTATACGGCCGGTTGTTTTCGTAGACTGGTGGAGAGTTGGTGAACAGTGCTGTAAGGAGGGGGTATAGGAGTGACAGGAGTGACGGTTGGGGTTAGCCGCTGCTGGTTGCAGCAGCCCCTGCCTTTCACAATCCTAGAATTGTCCAAGATGTGACCGTTTGAGCTCTCCTTTGCAACATTCTCCAACCACCCAACTCAAGCATAACCCAAAGAACGAATCCCCAATTTCGGGCTCTTCGGCTTGGTGGCAAAGTAGCTTCTGATCCTTTGTACATCTTTGTACTCAGGACAGAGCAGAAGATCCACCTACATCCGCAGTTTTTCTTCCTGGGCCACTTCTCCAAGTACGTCATCCCTGGGTCGAAGCGCCACCTGGCAGATGCTCAAAGGAGGCACCCCCCGTTCTTTTTTTTAGGGGGGAGAGGGGGGGTGGGGGTGCTTGTCCTTTTTTTTGGTGCGTTAGTTCTGCCTTTGCCTTGTTTCGTTTTTCGTGTTTTGCTTGTCTCTTGTTTTGCTTGTTGATCTTTCATGTTTCCGGTCTGTGCTTTTTGTTTTTGTTCGTTTTTGCTTCGCTTTTTGTTTCTTTTTGCTTGTTGCTTGTCGCTTTTGCTTTTTTCGCTTTGCTTTTTGCTTTGGCTTTTCCTTTCTGATCTCTGCTCTCCCTCTTTTTGGCTGGTTGTGCTTGATGCTGCTTGTGTTGCTGCTTTTGCCTTCCGGTCTGTGTTTTTTGTTGCTTGCGCTTTTGCTTTCGCTTCTTGCTTTTTGATTGCCTTGCTTTCGCGCCTCTGGTCTCTTGAATTTCCAGTTCCGCGTCCCTGCTTGGCCTCTGCTTGTCCAGTCCTCGCGTTGTTTTTTCAGTTTATCGCATGCGCAATCATGCGCACAGGGTGTCAACCCAGAGAATCCCGCGCCAAGCTGCTTAGTGTGTAGGATCGGCATGCTCGAAGTCAGTCAGGAAGTTGCTGCAATGTTTACATGCTATTGGTCATTGGTATGCCTTGTTGTTTTCCCTGTTTGCGTCGGCCAGCGGCCAGTCAGTAGCAGCATAGCTGTATTGCTGTATTGCCTTGGAACTTAACGTCGAAAGCAAGTCCAGCCCTTCATAACCACTTCGCCTGAGCTCAGGTTTGCTCACGAGCATGGAGCACACTCCGTGCTATACAGGCACAACGCGGAGGTATGGCACCTGTTCGGCTCAGGCACAGGGAGGATCAAAGAGGCTCAAAGGTATGAAGGGGGTTGTTCTATTTTCCCGATCTGGGGGACTGGCTGAGAAAAGCCTCAGGCTGATGTTATGTGACAGGTCCTCCTATGGAGGGAAATTAGACATGGCAATGAAGACCGTTTGCGAAAACATCGTTGTTGCTGTACCGTTGTTGCTGCGGTTGCTTGCTGGAGGATGGTCTTCAGGCAGCTTCCTTCATTCGACCAGACGGTGCTCAGCTTAAGCCCAGCATGTCGACGCTGCGTTTTTCCCCCAGCGAACCTAGGAAAATAGGCTGGACCGATCACCTCCTAATGCATCACACGGCGACAACCAGAGATGAACGTAACTCTTGGTGTGGGAAAGCCAATAGCGCCCACCCCAATGTGATCTCATCACCGGCTGTGGATCAAGGAGTGCAGCCTTGAATTGCAGTTCGCCCACAGGGCGGGAAGTGCTTGGCAAGATCACTGGCTAAATTATTTAATGGTCTCGATGTCAATCGGGTAGGGCATTCGAGCTGCAGGCATTGTGGCAACTGTGGTGCTGAACGCTGCAGACCTCCCCATTAGCTTCAAGCTTCAGATGCCCACCTGCAATCTCTTGTGGTCTTAGCACGCTTTTATGTGGGATATCACGCCCCTTGTCAAGCTGACCATGTCAAGACTTGCACATAAAGTCATGATCAAATAAAATGTTTGAGTCGATATTTTCTTTGCCTCTGTTCGTGTCATCATCACCAGATTAACTGCATAGTGCCCACAGCAATATTTGTTAAATCCGAGGCCCAGCCTAGAAGTTCCAAGTTGCTGGGTCCTTGCATGTTTTAGGGTTTCGGGATGCCCGCTCTGGTGCTTTATGGTTCATGTGCACTTGTTCTCGGTTTTTGGGAGTGCCACTTCTTAAGTTACCAGTTACCACCATAACTTCATGCACGGAGGAGATTTGCATCAACAGAGAGCTTCTGCCATAAGCTTTTTGTATTGGTTTGTGTTTGCATGATGGCTTGCGCTTTTCGGTCTTGCTTTCCGTCTTTGCCTTATGTTTTGTTGGGACGTTTTCCCTTATGCTTTCCGTATCTTTCTGTTTTTGTTGCTTTTTCAAATTATGTTGTGTTGTTTTTTGCGTTCTGCCTGTCTGCCTTCTTGTTGTTTTGGCTTTGTGCTTTTTGCTGCCTGCCTTGCTTCCTTCTTGTTCCTTTCTGCGTTGGTTGCATCGCTGTTGGGCTCCTGCACTGGCCGGGGTTGGGGTAAAAAAATTAGGAGCGTTTGCTTGCCCACCAACCCTGTGCGGCGCTGCCCTTGTTTGCGCTCTTTTGTTGTGGTGTCTTCCGACGTTGCTTGTCTGCTTTTTGTTTTTACAGTCTGGTACTGTTTGGTTTATCGTCTGGCATTGTCCGTTTCCTTCATTTTGGCCTGTTTGTTTGTTGCCGTCAGCGTTTTGCTTTCTGCTTGAAGTTCGGCGTTGCCCTTTTTTCTGCTTTTTGTTTTTTTGGCTTCTGGCTTTGTTGTTCGTTTCTGCTTTGCTTTTAAATTCATGTCTTTACTTTGCCAAGGAGAGGATGGTAGTTTTCAATGGCAAAGGGCCTAGATTCGGGGTTCAGGGCTAGGGACGAAATTCCGAAAAGTGGGCATTCCGAAACATTTTGTCTGAGGTGATAGAATGAGAGAGAATGAGGAAGTCAGGAAGGAAGTTGGGATGGAGGGAATTAAGGACCAAATACTAAGCACTAAACACCATAATGGACAGCGGGCTGTATGCATTGTACGTTACATACTAGATTAAAGTTTGTGCCTTTTTCGCTTTTTCCTTTATGCTTCATAGTTTATGCCGTATACTATATACGCCTATTCAATGAGCTTTTGGGGATATAAATCCATCCAAGATATCTTCCCAAGGCGCAATCCGGGGGGGGAGGGGGGCGAGGCGGGGCAGATGAGGACGGTGAGGCTTTGGCGTGCCTCTGGTAGTAAGATTGGGAGGGGGGGGGGGGGGGGGAGGGTCTCTTGAAAGCTCCAAGATGCCACCAGGCCAGCAGGTTTGGCGCCGCAGTTTTTGCGTCGCGGAAGGGGCATCGTTCGGTGCCCCGTACGTGGTGTGCTCTGGGGCATGTCCCACAGCTTGCTTCGAAGAACATCATTCCATCAATGGACATTCCTTCAAAGCCAAAAGAACCAAGAAGCACAAGACTTAGAAACCCGCAGGAAATCGAATTGGTTCCCTGCTAAAGAAGGAAACAGATGCTTGTATCTTAAATAAGGTTTTCACATCATTCAAGTAACCAGGGCTTTCCTTGTCCAAGCAGGGTCCTCTCTGTTTGCATGGGAAAGGACGCAAAACTTGCGTTGGCGCGATGCGCATTTGTAAAGACATCGCCCAAAGGTACCCCCAAACATCCTTGAACAAGTCCGGACCCTTATAGGTTCGATAATGTTGGTGAATTCATTTTATTGTTTTACCCTCTGCAGCTTCCTTGTTCGTCGGGTACCCTGGATTTCTTGGATTCTGAATTGTCTTGGCCTACGATGGCTGCCAGCTGCTGCTTCCCTTGAGCAACCATGGGCTTATTCATTCTGTTTGTGTCAGCTGCGCGGTGGGTAGGCCTACTAGCTGGACCAAGGATGGCTTCCCAGGCGGTCAAGGCCTCGATCCCTCCGCGGGCCATTCAGACATACCTGGCGCCGTGGTCAGGTGCTAGTGCTAGGCAAGACTTAGGTTTTTGAGGGGCTTTCCAGCTGGGAGCCAGTATCGCATTGTTTCAATGTTGCATAGCTTCACTCTCAGGCGTTGCAGTTGTCGTATTCTCATTTCATTGTTTGGGGCGTTCTCAGGTTGAGTGCTAACCGTTGCTAACGTATGAAGTTGAAGTCCGGGATGTTGTTTTAAATGGGACAGGACATCGACTGTGGACTGGGTCCAGTCTAGGTGTGGGACCGTGTAGGATGATGTGGTCGCAGGTGTCATCGCTCAGAGCGCGAAAAAAAGTCCAACGACAGCTTGCTTTGTATGTTGCAGGCACCGCCTGCGTGCAAGCACCAACCGAGGTGATGCGCAGCATGCTCTGAGAGCTCCGCATATTCTGTGCTTCGGAGTTTTCACCTCGATTGCAGTCATGTAACATCGGGGATTCGAACAGCGCTGGAGAAGCTGTCGGCCATGTCGACTTCGCTAGGCTTCGATGCTTCATGGAAAATGCGTGCTGCAAGGGATGTTGCCCATGATAAGGGCATCCACTTGACCTTTCACAGGGGGGCTCGAAGAAGTTTCGATCTGTGGAGCCACAAGGCAGAAATCAGAAAAGGGACTTGACCCCACTCTGACAGCAGCTTCTCCTTCCTCCGCCATATGTGTAGTCCTTGCTGTGTGTGCTGCTGCGTCGCCTCAGATGTTTTTTCGGATATCGGCCAGGGGCTCTTCCCAGACCACAGATCGCCTGCAGCTCTTGCACAGGGGCCACGGCCTCAGCATCCGATCTCTCAACCGCAGTCTTTGTCTAAATGGCAGTGGCGCTCAGGGAGACTGCAACGGCGGGTTTGCCCACAGGCATTTTTTCCAGCTGCGACGTAAGCGCAGTCTGAGAAGACCAAATGAAGTTCACGCTGCAGCCCCTAGGGCCCTAGGCTGCTGAGAAACCTGTCTTCAACAGCGTTAAAAATGGCAAAGCCTTGCAGTGCCAGACTTTGCACAATCCAAGTGGCCTGCATGTAGAGAACAGATCCAAACAGGCATCGCTTCGTCTGGCGGGCCTAGTTCGGTTTCTCCTGGGCTCAAGCTGTTCATGGGAAGCACTCTGTTCCTGTATGTTCGTATTATGTTAGGTTCTTTGTTATCCCCCCCCCCTCCCCCTCCGCGCCCCCTCCCACTGTATCCGAGGTTCCGCGGCATGGCCGAGCTGGCGACACAGCTAAGGAGTGCGGGCGAGGATGCGAAGGTCTGTGAAGGTTCAGTGTGGGTTTCTCTTCAGTTCAGGGATTGGACGTCTTCTTGCTTTGCTGCATTCGAATTTCTCCCATAGATTCCATAGATGTCGTAGATGTTCCGTTTTACTTGTCTGCAGTTCTTACATGTCATGTTGCACTGCGAGGTCTGCTACGTTGATTCTCTAAAGGCCAGCAGCAGGTTCTTACGAGCAACTGGGGCCAATTAACAAATGACTGAAACTGAAACAGTTTCGGAGCTTCTGATGATAATTCACAATAAGGGTAACCCTACATTTTTAAAGAAAATGGATGTAGCTGTGCCATACCATCCCCGGCTTTTTTCGTCCAGGGAACCATTTCATGTAGCATCTTCAATCACTTCCTTGAGCACATCATATGCTCCACGATATGTGCTTACATATCAACGGCGTGTTCTAAGGAGTTCTTCAGACAAATGTTCATCGATGTCTTCTTTACGGGTTGCACTCGTTGCTCAGTCAGGCTCATGTCACACCATAAGATATACCAATTGTCCATGTGATGGAATTTGTGAGAGAGGTAGGGCAGGGGAGTTGACATGGGCGATTGCTGATCCTCTGTGGTAACGCTTCAGGCGACACTTTGTGCAACATCTCATCAACAGTGGACGTGCTGGCAAGTCCCAGCCATGTTGCAATGCTCATGCTCCCAAGATCCCGAATGTCTGAAGACCCGAGATTCAGCTGAAGGTTCCTTCAACTTGTTCGGAAACGGTTGTGGCCCTTAAGTGTGTGAAGCGCTTGAGCCGCTCTTGAGCCATGGATGCTGGCTTTGGGGAGCTTGCAGATCTGGGTCCAGCGGACCGTTTTCGCCAATGCATGGAGAAAGATTGCCGAAGGTATGAGCTCCTTGTGTTTGCCGTGGAGGCCTGCTACCTGGTGCTCTACATCATCTACATCGCTGTCAACTTTGCCATGGCCGCAGAGAAGGGCATTGAGAAGCCTCTAGCTCCTAAGCCATTGCCCCCCATGCTCTTTCTCATCCTCCGTGCTTGCAGACTCTTTGGTTGCCGCCTCGACAAGGTGCAAAAAAGCCGTACCTGTTCCGGTATCCGCAGAAGCGGCTGTTCCGGTCGCTGGATGATGGACACAATATTCCACTGTGTGGTCCTTTCATGGTATGGCATCATGGCCGGGCGCTTCTCGGCCATGAGCTTGTCGCAGACCAGAGACGACCGCTTCCTCAAAGGGATGTACCTTGGTCCCACAGTTTTTCTCTTCCTGCTCACAGTCTTGTGCCTCATGGTCTTGGACCGCCTGCAAACCTTGCTGGCCTCCGTGATGTCCTTCTTCGCCTTTGTTGCCCCCCTCTTCCTTTCTCTCTCTCAGTTTGTTTGGGAGGAAGTGGAACCAGGCGGAGATGTGCTTCAGGTGGTCTCAGAGCTCATCACGCTTCTGATTGCCACTGCTGCGCTCTGCTTTGTAAGGTGGTCCTCGTGGTCTGACCGAGAGGCGCACTTCCGCCGAGAGGAAAGCCTCAAGACAAGCATCATCGATGAGAAGGTCAAGCGGTGCCATGTTGAATTTGCAGCTCAGCAGTTGACGGAGTTCATTGGAAAACAAGAGGGGGAAGGTGAGGAGTCGTCATGCGTCTCTCTTGCTCCTCAAGAAAGTTCTCCGTTGCCCACAGTTCCAACACGTGCAACACCATCACCGCCCTCAGTGCAGAGTGCACCATCGAACATGGACAGGCTGTCCCTGTTGCAGAATACATCCCCACGTTCCCGTTGTGACTGCCTGCCCGTGTCTGCAAAAGTCCATGTGGATGGGTTCTGCGGAGGAAAGCCTGCGTCCAAACTTAGTGTGGGAGACAGGGTCCTTTGCTATGACCACCTTGCGGGGAGCATCAAATTTGTGGAGGTTGAGGATTGTGGAATCATTGCTGGGCCATGCAGCTGGTCACGAGTGACGCTGACAGATGGCACCACAATGTCGGTGACCACAGATCACCCCGTCCGCATCGTGGGTGAGATGGAAGCGCAGGGAGGCGTTGGGGGCCTCGGTGGTGGGCGGGTCGTTCGGGCAGGTGAGTTGAGACCTGGCAACATGTTGAAGATCCTTCGGATGGGGGCGGTGCCTATCGAAGAGATGCAGACTGAGCCTGATCACCAGCCGCGTGTTCGCATAAACTTGAGGCAAAGTTGGCGCTACTCGCTTTTCTGCTCTGAGGGTTCAGGCCAGGAGATGACATCCGTGGCCGTGGAGTCCTCGAGCGGCCTGGATGGGCGGCATGAAGAGCTGCTGCAGGTGCAAAACACGTTCCTTCACCTGACAGAGGAGGCTTCAAGCATGGTGCCGGGGCGCAGGGCACGATCCGATCCAGGAACCCCTGTAGCGGAGGAGGCCAGAAGTGTACCTGGCTAATCCGAGATAAATCATGATAAATCATGGTAAATCATTTGCTTGAACATCTACAGTCCTTGCAAATCCTGCAGGAAATTTAGAACCGATGTTGTGACCCTATCCCTGGTGGGAGGTGAAGGGCCTGGGACACTCGAACCTGCCTTGCATGGAGCGAGCAGCCGAGGACTGCACATGCTCTGAGTGCCCCTAAACATCAGAAGCTTAACTTTGGCAGTGTGAAAGCATGATAAGACATGCATGTGCTGTGCTGGACTGAAGCCGAATCCGCAAGCATCATGTTCTTGCTTCGCCTCCTTCGCAGCCAGCCTGCTACTAGTTGCATCAAACGGCCTAAAGAGTACTCAGATGTGCTTATGCATCAGAGATCATCTCCGGCTGCTGAAACGAGGTCACCAAAAAACAACTCAGGATCGATGTCTAGGTTTTGCATCTCCCAGGACAGGGGGGCTTTCCAAGAGGACTCTGATGCAGTGGGCGATGCGCCAGCTGCAAGTTCCATGACCTCCAGTGACAGAATCTGGACTGCATAAAGTGCAGATGTCTCAACTAAAAAAGCAGTGAAGCGCAAGAGTAGCGCAAGACCAAGCAGCGAAGCGGTGCTCCAATCCGGTGAACCTCATAAACCCACGTGCTGTGTCTCCAAGCTTGGCCAAGGCGATCCTGACGTGCAACACTCAAGAGGCTGCTGTCAGCCATGCCTCTTCCAAAGCAGGCACTTTTCCGATCCAGAGAGGCTGCGCTGCCTTAAAAGTCCTGAAGTTGCCTCCTGAAATCCCCTGAATCCCGATCCCCCCTCGAAAAAGCCTAAACAATTCGCAGCCGCCGCGCTATGCCTGCAAGGTTCCCGGCATGTACGAAAGCCGAATGCTTCTCTCGCTACTGCCACCTACCCCACAGCGATGGCTATCTAGCCACCTACAAAGCGATCCTTTGCTTCAAAAGGAGGGCTTCTTGTAGTGGTCCCTCGGTAAGTTCAAGAGTGTTTCAAGAATGTTGAGGGTTTGGAGTTTGCGGGCGCGGCGATTACAGGGCTTCAGCATTTGGCGTTCGCCCGAATGGCTTGAGTGGGGAATATTCCGCCGGGACCAGGGCCACGATCACGCCACCCTGCTACACAAAGCTGCACCTAAACAAGGGGCTTGCGCACTCCCTCCTCCCGAGGATGAAGAGGCGCTATGAGAAGCGTAATCGTCACGCGCAGCGGAAACAGCACAGGAGTGACTGGGAAATGGGCTGCTAAGAGAAATCCAGAGAAGACGCGAGATGCAAACAGTTGCTATTGTTACATAGCCAGGTTAGAAGCAATGAAGTCTGTGTGTGTGCGGTGTTCCACGCTTATTGAGCACGCTCGCACTCGCATTGTCTCACTTAGGCGCTTAAGTCTCACAGGGAGCTCTCGACTCCCCTTTCGCGGCAAGTTGGCCCAGGCTCTTCCACGAAGCAGAGGTCTTTGTGGACATGGCACTGGCCACTGACGTTTTTCCATACAGTGGAACCCCTTGAGGAAGCCGTAGGTAGCCGGAAATCAGGTAGCAAAAAGGTTAGCGGAGATAGGACGCAATAAAGAGTTAGGCTACATCTACTGTTGCTATCTTCTCGCTACTGTATGCTTTTGCATCGTTCGCATCATGTGTTTATTTTTGCCATCTCTGTCATGTATTTTAGTACTTTTTGTATCGTTTCCATCTTTCCTTCATGTTGTTTTGCATCTGAGAACAACCTTTTGAACACAGTTTAAAACACGCATACATACGTATACACACGTATACATACATACATATACATATATATATATATATATGTACATGTTTTTTGTCTACGTATTCGCTGCAGTCTCTATGGGCTTTCAGGGTTTAAGGGTTCAGCGCTTTTCGGTTAAGCGTTCTTATTGGTTAAGGGGTTTTAGGGTTTAGTGTTTAGTGTTTTCAGGCTTTAGGGTTAGAGCCTAGGCAAGCTCATACTCCTATGCCCGAGGGAACTGCACAATCCACTGGCGTTTTTGTTGCGGCACAACGTCACGAACTGCGAAGCGGTCATCGCTTTTGGAGGCCCACGTGGTCTGTCACTGTTTGGGGTCTACGGACCGTCTGGCCCTTGCAGTCTCAAGTTTAGGCTCCGGTCTGATGCAGACTCTCGTTTCGGGGGCTGGACACTGCAGTCTCCAATTCAGGGCTCTGGCCCCTGCGGTCTCTAGCCCCTGCTGTCTCTAGTTCAGGCCGTAAGCCATCTTGGCTCCAGGGCTTGGGCTTGCGGTGTTCAGGACAAGAAACCCTGCCTGTGAACGATGATTAGGGCACTGGAGGTGTGAGAGAACCTAGCCCTAAGAGAAAACACAATGTCACAAGATGAGGATGCGCCTGCTTGGGTGGAGAGTCTTCCGCTTCCTGCGAAGATACATAAAGTATCATCATCCAGCTTGCTTCCTTACTTGTAAACGCTTGGGTGCCTGCCGCCTCGGCAGCCGGGCCAGCCCACGTCCCAAGGCCAAAGAAATTCAAAAGCCTTTTGCCAAACGCCCAAAAGTGGTGTTTTCTTGCCTTCTTGGGCGCTGCCTCTGTAGGAGCCGCCGACAGGCGGGAATCCCCCAAAACATCGGTCTGCGGCTCTTCCAAGCCATCCGGGGAGTCCCACCAGGGGGGGGGTCACTGCACTCAGTGTGGGTGTGAAGGGTTGGGAAGGGGGGTTGTTCCAGACAGCAAGCCGAGGCGAATTTCAGCTACATTGCTATCTTTGTATTTTTTGAGCACATGTCATTCCACCTTGTGTTTTTCTATCTTTTTCCTTTCATATTCACTTGCATCTTAGCCTCTTTTTTTGCTATCGTGATGGTATCTTTGGGCCTAAGGGTGACAAAGAAGATGTAAAGATGTCAAACATGGCTAGGAGCTCGGATATGTCATCCTAACTGGTCGCATCCCACTTATTTATCTACATATATATATATAATCTTTTTTATATAGATGCAAGTAACGACTTGCAACCCCATCTACCACTGGTTGCAACCCCACTGGCATCTTTGTACCTTTGCGTATCTGAGGGGTTCCACTGTGTCGAGCTCCAGGATGAAAGTGCCCCATTTTTGAAGGACGCATAGTGCGTTTTGATTGATTTAGGACCTTGGATCCCAGTGCGGGTATCTGCGACATGACATACAGGGCAGCCCGCAAAAGCGCTTTTTTCTGCCAGGTGTCCACGATCTTGTTTCCATGCAGCTGCACGTCGGCTCTGCAAGACCGGACAACCGGCATCCTGTCACCAAAAAGAGATCGAAAAACGTGCGTGAGCACTACTGCGCATCAGTTTCATTCGCGTATATCATCTGGATGCAGTGGGTTCCGGGCCGGTCTGCCCAATAGACGAGCTCAAACGAGTTGACAGATTTCACCGTGCCAAGTTGACGGTGGGCCTAAAGAGTCGGAACATGTGAACAATGCGTGGGTGCGTCAGGTTGATGAAGTCCTGGCCGGCTTTTTCCAGCAATTTGAAACAGGCCAGGTCGGGAGACGGGGCCCTGCAACTCGATGGAGCTTGTTGGATGGGTGGCACCGTTGACCCATGTTGACCCTACAGCAGCACAGCAGGATGGAGCTTACTGCTTGGAACTGTCGCTCGGCCCTCAGCAGACCAAGAGGAGTATCGGCAAGACAATGTGATTCAGTTGTGTTGAGGCCTGGAACAAGGCACCGGCATATCAGTCTGCCGTGCATGCCCACAGCCGCCTGGTGGCCATAGCCAGGCCCCTGGCATTTGACACTCCCGCAGCAATCCCAAACTCTTGTGACGATTGCAAAGGAACCAAGACGCCTTGAAACCAATTCTCAACCCGAGCTGTGACCCTTGCAAGATGGTAGCGGTTTTCACCATTAGTATAGGTTTGCCCATGGATCCCCAACTAGTTTGCAACTGGAGACCTTGAGATGCTGATTTCAAAACGGGCCCCTTCAAACACAAAAGATCAAGGTCGGAGGCCATCGAGACGTTGGACAGCCTGCTCACCCAAAGGTGAGCGAGCCAGAGAGAGAGAGAGAGAGAGCCCCGAAGAAGAAGAAGAAGAAGAAGAAGAAGAAGAAGAAGAAGAAGAAGAAGAAGAAGAAGAAGAAGAAGAAGAGAGAGAGAGAGAGAGAGAAAAAAAAAAAGAGCAGCAAGAGAGGGCATCGCTTCTCACCCAAAGGATGGACCGAGTGGACTGGCCGCGCCTGTGCGCGCGGGGGGTCTTCTGGCCCCTCATGCCCTGTAGAATAGAAGAAAAAAGAGCAAGCGAGCAATCTCAAAGGCGGCCACCTTGGGGCCGTACGTGCTGGAAGGAAGCTAGGAAGGAAGACTGCAATCGGTCGGTTGGACTTCGGCTTGTTAGCCTGGGGTTCGGGAAGACCTGGATTAGCAAAACCATGGAAGCCTCTTTCCTGCACGTTTGGTCAGGGCTCAGACTCTGATGCATGCAGTGTGTACTGATTAAGGCCTGTTTTCTGGGGCTGCTTCGGGTCTTTGGGTCTGGATGTTCAGGTTTGAGAAGGCTTCAGGATAAGTTTCATGATAGGATTGAAGTCTCGGCTTATGTTCTTTTCTGTTTTGTTGCTGGCAGGGGGTTCAATCTATTTCAGGCGGACTTGGCACAACAACTCCCCACCCCCCACCCTCCCAACCATCGAAATGCCTACTAATGTTGACTTGAATCCCCCGTGGTTGATTCAATGGATCTGGCCGGGTTGTATTTGCGGAGAAGCCTATCTTGAAAACAGACTGCTCCCCGTTTTTGCGTGTGGCGGATTTCCCCATTCTTGCATGTGGCGGATTGGAGCTTAATTAAAGGGTGCTAATGGAAATCGGTTCCGGAGTCTGTTTTTTGTCGGTTCATGCTTGTTTTTTTTTTTTTTGGGGGGGGAACGTCTGCGGTTGCGGGGTGGCAGTGTACTGCGGGCATAACTCTGCAGGCTCACCAGAAGAAAGGCCAAAAGCAGAAGTGCGAATCCAAGTTGCCCAGTCGGACTTGGTGTTGTGTAGGGACTGTTACGCTCAGTTTCGTTTTCATGTTTGTTCCGAGGCCAGACGATGGCGCGCAGAGGCGCGGCAAGGGTCAGTGTAGAGTAAATGGAGGGGCCGGAGGGTGTTGATGCGGCGGGAGCTGCACAGCGGCAAACCTGTTTTCGATACATTGCTCGGCGCAGCGGGGCCGACAAGGGCTTCTGCAATGAGGTCGTTGCTAATTTTTGTTGCAGATCCAGCAGAAGAGCCGACAGGACATGTTAAGCGTTCAAATTCTGTGGGTGGCGCAACTGGCCCAAGCATTTTCTGATTGCAGAGCCTTCTGGTTGACGACCCTGGGTGGTGGACATGGTGAAGCCGCTGAAGAAGCTTGAGCTTGACTACTTGTATGACGAGAATGGGCCAAACTATAGTTGCCTCATCAGATTCATCAGGCTGTTCATCTCTCTCAGCGTCCATAGAGAATGAGGAGGCAGTCCTAGATTCCTAGACAAAAAGGGCAAAGCACAGGCAGATGTTCAGAGCTGGAAGCGGGGTGAAGATGACAAAATCTTTTTCGGAATCCTCGAGCACCATGAGCATTCATTCCAGAAGCCACTCCGCAGCCAGATCCGTTTTGTGTTCCACATGTTCCACTGGGTACGTGGTTGGGTGTCCTGCGCAGATAAATCAACACATCAAGGTCGCCACCTGGATGTTCTCAGGCTGCCGGATGCGTGTGCATGGCTCGAGCACCAAGGAGATCTTAAGGCGCCAGTGCCGGCACTGTCAAGACGTACCTGGACGACAGCTTCCGCTCACAAAAGGCTCACAAAAGTTTCCCCGCACAGCTCCACAGACAGGCAGGCGCTTTTAGAAGTGAATAATTTGATAACCCGGTCCAGTCCCTCAAAAGTAGGCCCCGAGTTCTGCCCCCGAGTTCTGCGATGAGGCGATAAGGGTGTCTGGTGGATAGCGGAAGAAGTTATGAGCAACTGGCAATCATGCAAATGAAAAAGTAAAAGATTAGAAGAAGTTCAGTCAGCAGCACTGTTGCGAGCCTGCCTGGAGGCAAGACCTGGATGAGCTGCCTCCTTTCTCCATTAGTGATGAGACAAGGCCCAAGCATATGCGCTTGTGTGTGCACGTGCCATCCATGGATACTTTGTATTGTATACATATATGCGTACGTAGTTGTGTTGTGGCCGAGTGCGTGCAGGCGTGTGCGGGCGTGTGCGTGCGGGTATGCGGGCGGGCGGGAAAGCACGGGCGTTTGCCTGCGGGCGTGTGCGTGTGTGCATGCACTTCACAGTCAAGTCCTGTCCTCGGTAGCACAATTTTACCACAATTGTTTCGCACTTGGTGCAACTGGCCACCCACCTTTCAAGAGCTTCGAGACTTCGCGTGTGCCGCTGTCTATCTCTCTCTCGTGTCTGTCTTTGTGTACGTGTGTGTGTGTGTGTCTGTTTGTTTGGGGGCTGTCTATGTGGGTATGCTGGTGTGTTTACTAGGGCGTCAGCGCAGATTCGCATATCCTTGTGCATGCTTGCTTGGCCAGCTATGCCGCTGAAGATGAGGGCATTTGTGTGGCACTTTTGGCTCGTCATGTTGCTTAGTCAGGCTGACGATTTTGGAAGCCTTGCAATCCCGGAAGGAGCACGTCTTGCATAGCATAAAGAGAGAGACAGCGAGAGACGGATCGAGGGAGGTAGGGAAAGAAAAACCGCGCCCCCTCGCCTCACCGCAAGGCGATGCCTAAAAAGTAGATTTGGGATTTTAGTTCCGGCCGCTAGCAAAAGACACGTGATAGCCGCAGCGTGGTTGCATTGGTCATGGGGTTTACAGGGAAACGGCTCAGTGGCTGTCTTTGACCCGACTTCTCGGCCGCCGCCAAGCCCGGACGATCACTGCGTGTTGTAAATCCCGCTGCGCATGACCGCTTCGGGGGTTAGGCCCGGCTCCCTGGAAGGAAGGAAGAGACAGGGATGGAGGGAGAGAGAGCTAGTTCGTGCGCCATTAACAACAGTATTATTGTGGCCAAGAGAAAAGAGTATTATCAGCCCGCATTTCGTTCTCACTACGTTCACTTGTTCACTATATTCAGTGAACTTGTAATATTGTTTTCCGTGTTCTTGTTTCGTTCCTGCATGCCTTAAATATTTGTAATGGTACGTGTTTTTCATTCCTTGCCATGATAATCAGGGCGTACGCTTAGAATATTAAGCGTGTGCATGGAGAGCCCAATAAAAGAATAATAAAGGGGCTTTTGTACACACCTGATTTTGTTGGACATGAAATCGATGAGCAAAGGGACAAGGAAAAGTGAATAATGAAAAGCGTATGCGAAAAAGACCCCTTCTTACGAGGTCTTTTGTGCTTACTCTGTTCCCGAGGTATTAAGATAGAAATTATACTGGCTTCGAATTATAAAGCTTCATTTATTACTATATTATGAGGTTACAGGCGGGCTTCTACAACATTAAGATTAAGAAAGTACTATGCCCGCGAAACAATTGAATGGAGAGCGAGAGAACGAATGAATGAATAGTCGTGTGTGAGCACGGTATCGTGACCAGGGAGGTTTCCGTGGTTTCACACCACGTCTCACACCAAGCATGAAGCGAAGGCGTGTAGGGCGCGCTCGGGCTTGGGAACTTGCCCGCCCTCATGTCAAGTCCTGAAGAAGCAGAATAAGCAGGGGAGAGGGAGAGAGAGAGAGAGAGATCTTAGCCATTTTGGCTCAAGTCGGAACCCACCCCCGACTTGATCCATACGCCCAGCGGGGGGAAGGAGGGCTGCACGATCACACTCAAACTCCTTGGATGTGCCCGCCGCCAGCGGAAGCCTGAAGGGGGCCGTGTCACAAGAAGGAGCAAAGGGAACCACATATGATTCAAGGCCCGAAGAAGAAGAAGAAGAAGAAAAGAGGAAGAGGAAGAGGAGGAAGAGAGCGAGACAGCGAGAGAGATTTACATACACATATATATCTATATATAAAGTACATATATATATATATGTGTATCTACATCTTTGTGATACTTACTTATTATGTATTTATGTTTTTGCAGTACTTTGGGGGAGGCAAGGTGCACGGCAAGCAGACCCAGGGAAGTGCGGGGCAAAGAGGAAGAAACGTCAAACCCGAAATGGCGATTTGTCTTTTGAAAGCGCGCACCAAAAAAGACAGACGTACAGGTGCATCCAAAGATAAAAGGCCACAAGCACAGCATCTTGGAAACTAGTAGTTTTTCTAGTAGTTGAGGCCCTAGTTCTTTGGACTTGACAGGCTGGGTCAGGAAATTAGGGTTGCATTCCAGCACCGAAGCGGTAGCCCAGTAGCACATGAGCATTGGCCCTTTTTGCCCGCGGACCCTGTCAAAACTCGAAGCAGAACGAGAGTCAAAACAATGCTCAGCCGAAGCAGGAGTTCCAGAAGGTGCCAGGGAATCTCCAGAGGCAGTGGCAACAGGCCAAGTTGGCTTGTCGAACGTGACCGGAAGCATGGGCACTTCTCTATAGAAAAAAGACACTGGGCCCAGGCTTTCCAAAATAAGGGGGGGGTTTACAATAGAGTTCCGGGCTTGGGGTTTCTTCATTGAGGGGGAGGGGTTATAAAAATGAAGTCAACATGATCAAGGCTCTAGCCCCGTCAGCGCAACGTACTTTAACATTGGAGGCTGAGAGGGTCTCCTTGAAGTGAATTAAGATACAAGAGCCGTATTAGGCAAGACCTGACCCCAAATAACCGTTGGCCATCGTTGGTGTCATTGCTTTGCGGTGAGGCGCTTCTGGCTCCGCTGTCGCCGTCAGCACCTCATGAGAACCTGAGAGTCCAGTTGGTTTCAGTGGGTTCCGGTCGGGTTCGTGTGGATGGGTCTTATAAGTTAATAAGGCCATTAAGGCTACCTCAACGTAGAAAGTGTTGCCCAGGCCAGGCGTTCGATCACGTTGCAGCTCCCTCATCGCGAGCATTGCGAAGGTCTGGTATTGCATTGGAACTTCGTTGCAAGCTGGCATAGGTCTAGTGCAAGCAATGATGGTGACGATAATGAACGACCGCGCATCATTTTTCTAGCAGTCACGTGAGTCTGCGTTGTTTCTGTGTTTTTCTAAAGGGTTCAGAGATGCTTCAAAACTATTTCAAAACTGTTTTTCCAGCCTCGGCTTCCATTCAGTCGGCATCTCTTGGCAGGGCAAAGGACCTACAACTCGCGTGGCTGTGGCCACTGTCCCAAGGGCATGAGGGCATGTCTGAAAGTCAATTGTGCCGACAGCATCGAAATTGAGCATTAGGCGGCGGCTGCAGTATTAGACCTTAGGCGTATGATTCTGGGTTGCTGCTGGACTGCAGGCAACCCAGTCAGAAAGTCAGAGATCTGGCTTCTTAGGTGCAGCTGGAGCACCTGGCAGTGCACAGCAAGGCGCCAGACGAGGTCATCCTCGCCCTGGCCTGAGAGATCCTGAGCGCGCATGTCGCTTCCTTCCCAAGCCTTGATCCCAAACCTACCAAACCTTGGTGGGATGAGAAAGTTGGGGTTCCAAAGCTCACGACCACAGACTTCTGAGAGCCAAAACTTCCCTCAGCATCTCAGCCTGAACTATCCCTGAATTTCTCGTGATTCCGTCGACTTCAGGCCGTGGTTTTTCTGCTTTTCACGACAGCATACTTTGGATCTTCTACAGGCATCCTGCGCACTGACGTGTGTGCAATGACTCACGGCTCGGCCTTTGATGGCCTTGGCACGTTTTGCTGGCTCTTTGGCTTCTTGTTTTCTGCATGTTTCCCCACGATTTGGGACCCCATTTCTTCAATTTGTCATGTGTGGTGGAGGCTCTGGTGCCTTCTCGCTTCGAAGCTTCAAGGAAGCTGTTGGTTTGCCGACCATGTGCGCAGCCTAGACAGTTGTTTCAAACTTGAGGCCACTTTGAAGGAGACAGGACATCATATTGGTATGACCAATGCTTGGATGTTCGCAGATGGCGTTGAAAGTGCAGCAGAGCAGCTCGTGCAGATGCCAAGTACGACTCAAATAAAACTAAATGATGCTCATGCCTGACTCAGAGGCCCCCAGAGGTGGATGACGTGGAAGTGCCTGTGGTGAAGATCGTTGAGGTTGGTACGTGCAAATTGTGCACAGTATACAGCCAACCTCAAAGACCTCAATTTTAAGGCTTCAGGACAAGGCTTTTGATTAAAAAATTGAGCTTCGCTTTTCGCGCCCATGGTCATTTATCAAGAATGCGCGCGAAATGGACTGAGACTCTCTCAGGGCGGATTTGGGCCAAAGGCCTAAGCGGATTCCTGATGTCGAGGTCAGCAGTCGGGACTTCTTTGGGGCAGTTGCCCACAGAAACAAAGTCAGATGTACATCGTTGGCGTGCGCCGGTATCATTCTGTCTTGTGAGGTGAGGGTATACGGGTCCTTTTTGGCAGTTTCGACTGTGCCAGTGAAACTGTTTTCGGCAAACCCTTGACTGCAGACCCTGAGTCCCAGGAGGAACGCGAGGACTGGCGTACGAAGGTTTGGTCTAGCACCCAGTTTGAGATTCAATACCTGATTCTGCTCTTGACATGCTAAGAGTTTCCAGTGGCATGCGGAGAATTTCGCTTCTCTGACTGTATGGATGTTGCGTCGGCAATATGTGTGGCTCAGAGAGACTCAGGGAGTTGTCCACACGTAGCACCAGAAAGGCTCAGAGCATCCCCTAAGAGCAACATTCAAACGATATTGCATAATAATAATATTGCATTGATGATATTGGCGGCTTATTCTTCATGGCCTTCAGCCTGCGGATGAAGCACTTGGGGTGTAGTTGCCCTGTTTCTGCCCTTGGTTTCGTGTTGCGTCTACTGTCGGAACCCCCTGCGCTCTCCACATGGTGCTGAGAAGCAGTGTGCTGCTTCTTCTGATGTTGGTGGCAGATGTCCACGGGAGCCCCAGTTTCATGCAGCGGAGAGTAGAGGCACAGCACGTGTTTCTGGAAGGCTTTCGCTGAACGAGGCTCTAACATGTGGTGACATGTCTAGTCTGCTGTACTGTGCAGGCGCCGGCAGCTGTGGTAGAGGAGACCGAAGCTGTAGTTGGCGTATGCAGAATCATGTTTGCAGGCTGTGTGTGCGGCAGGCTGAAGACACTCAAGGTTGCATCTCATGTCAGTTTGAGTGGTCGCCTCAGGGCTGGCTTCCGTGCGTAGGCTCACTGCGATGTGCAAGGAGCAGAAGCCAACAACTGCAAAGCCGAGCTGGCCTCAGTGTTGGTTCTTTAATTGACGGAGACCAGTTCCCTTCGCAGTCAACCCATGCCGCCACAGAGATGGTCAACTGACGGTCAGCAGTGGCACCAAGAAGGTGTTGTCTAGAGTTTAGAGATGATGATCATCATCATCATCATCATCATCAGAGATGCAGCATCATCACAAGCAGCCTTGAGCTGGCTTTAATTAAATAGCCTCTTTCAAGTGGGCTGGGCGACTGTTAACACTCGTCCGCTGGTCATTGCCTGTTGCCCAGTTAGAATCAGAAAAAGACTGGTGGCCTTCCAAGGCTTTCGAAAAGCTTGGCCTTGCTGGAAGATCTCGAGCGCCTGGTGGAGCGCCGCGAGAAATCCATGGACACACAACGGCAACATATGACAATAGAAAGGCATTCTGGTCTAAATTAAGTAGAGATACTGAAAACCTGTGTTGAGTTCGGTCGGCGATTCAGCATCGATGTAGCCCGAGCTCCATGTGTTCGGCGCTTGAAGGCGTGAAACATTCTTACGCTTTTTTCGAGCATTGTGGTGCGGTCAGGAATTCAGCTTACAATATGCATTTTCTTGGTCAGTCCTGTGCAATCGCCTAGAAACGCTACGAAAGCCTTCGCCAAGTGCCTTCACCAAGCCTTAGCGAGTTCCATTGGAGCTACGTGCTTTCCTCTCACCTATATAAGCCTCAGGTGCGTGTCAGATGCCGACAGGGTTCGCCAGAGCAAAGAGAGCAACCTGTACGTCTTCTTTTCATTAAAATATAGCCAACCCCATGGGATTCTGGCTGACTGTCGTAACGATTGTAATGTGGAGGAAGGCCTGAAACTGAAGAGGCCTCATGACACAACTCTGTGTGTGTGTGTGTCTCAGGAACGCACTAGCTGGGCCTTGGGCTTCCTTTGTCTGCTGGCTCTGGGCTCTGCCGGGCTCAGCACGCAGACCCTGCGGCGGGGACCAAAGGCCAGAAGCTGATTCAACGTTGTGATGTGCATTGTCAGATTACGGCTTAGCGGCGAGATCTCACCTAAACGATGGATGCCAAACCCTCCGCATCCTCCGCATGCACATTTGCATCCCATATTCGAAGGTGGACTGAGGCACTGCTGCAGATGGCCACGGCTGCTTCTGAAGTAGGCATGTCCCCTAGCCAACATCTCTCTTCCAGGTACAGGCATGTCGAATCCTGTGAGTCTAAGTACTGTTACACGCTGAGTTCAGACCTGGCCTGGTATGCATTGTCTCTCAGTGTGTCACCCCTTTCAGCGACACAAGGAGGTCGCGATGCGAACTTAGCACAAAGCTAGCAGCTCCAATCGCATTTGTGCCGGCCGGCTTGCACTCCCATATGTCAAACAGGTTGCAAGAATCACAATTGACGGCGTCCAGTCGAGACGATTTCACGCAGTTCCCTGTCCTCCTGAAGTTAGTGCTAGACTGCCAGATGCCCGACCAAGTTGGTAGGCCATGCTATTCAGATTCCGGCGCAAAGAAAGGATGCTGCGTCAATAGACCTGCCCAGAGTGTGGAGCCCACGCTGAAAGGACGAGCGTACTTCAGGGTTTCAGGTGCTCGTGCACACACAGTGTTAAGCCATTGCACGGCCAGGCTGCCTTCACTGCTTTATCTGCTTGCTTCAAGGATTTGAGGGATTAGGATTTGTGGTTTGCGATTGGACTTGTCATGGTTGGGCTACTGTGCAGTGTACCTGTCAAGCATGGCGCAACATCGACCCAGGCACTTTCACTTGCAATGCCTAGCTCTGAGCCTGCGAGGTCAGCTCTTGCACAGCTCAGCCGCCACACGTTGCCGGAAGCCGCAGAGCGCTTGGTGTCTGGGCAGGCCAGGAAATGCTCGAAACTCTTTGCAGAACACGAGTACACTCTGTCAAAGGGCTTAGGCTGAATGCATCCACATGCGGTACGCGCTTCGGAGCTCTCCCATGCCAGGCCGAGCTCTCCGCCAATGAGGCCTTAGGGTTTGCTTGTCGGTTATTGCCGTCACAACTAGGCCGCAGCAAAGAAACGTGACTAGCCCTTTTGTTTTAGGCCTTTTCTGGTGGAGAGGAAGGTCCTGGTTCACTGGCCAGCTCCCCGGACTTCTTTGCGGAGTCCACTGGTGTTAGCAATGTGGGTCTCATATTGTCAATGGAGAGTAGAATGGAGTGGTTCAGTTATTTCAGTTAGGATTTCAAGGGCCTTGCAATCGTTGGTCAAGCAGCTCTTTCCGTGCAGAGATCAATGCGTCCAAATCCTGCGCCTGCCAATCTCGTATCCACGCAGCACAGTGCCGATGCGTACGTATACATGCACCTCTAGAACCTCTAGAATTTAAGACAATGGGTGATGTGAGCAGAACAGCAGACCTGAGTTGGGTTCCTCGCAAATACAGCACCGCAGTTAGCCTTCCCTTCGAAGCTATGCCGTCATCGATTTGCTGCTTCTCGTGGATTTGCTCTCCCGCCCATGCCCGATCTTTGCCTAACACCAAGCCTTCATCGCTGGCGTCAGAAATCTGTAGTGTTTTGTGATTCAGGCATGTTCCAGTGACCAGGGCATTGATGGGCTTTGTCATTGCTGGTGTGAGGAAGTGGAATTTATCACCAATCAAGGATGTTCTGTGTAGTTCGATTGAGCCTGGGCTTTTTCACTGCGAGCGGGTTTGAGGATGAGTACTTCATGCTATTGGATTGAATTGTGGGCTTACTCTGAGGCTCAGGATCCTCAGGAATTAAGGCCCGCTTCGATCAACCCCAGTCGTCCTCCCCACCCACCCTCGGGAAACCTCCGTAAACGTCTCTCTGATCGGCCCCGCGAAGAAGATGGACATAGAAGGACAACGACCAGCGAGTTGGCCACACGGCCGCTGTTGCCGCTGTTGCCGCTGTAGCTATTGCTTCCAGCTGCGACCACTGCTGCCACTACCACTAGTTTCTATTGCTTCTGCTTGGGCTGCATGATAATGCGACAGCTCCTGCTGCTGTAAACTGCACTGTGCAACATGTTCCTTAGTCTTGGTGCTGCTTGTTTTGCTGTCTAGTTTGGAGCGTTCATTGCTATGATGGCTACGTCTACGTAGTGTACTTCTTACTTTGCTGTTGCCATCGCTTCTCTCCTACTGCTACGTTTCCGATTCATTTGTTGTATCATTGCTGCCATTGCTACACTACTGCCTTTGCAAGTGCTTTCAATCTGACACCCTGGTTTGTTTTGTACTATCTGCCAGCACATATTCGGGTGGTTCTACTGCCAGTAGTCATTATAGGTTATTGTTGCTTTCAGGTTTCCCACACATCCTCAAACAGAACCTATCATGAGGTCATGTTCGGCGCAAAAATGGCCTTGCTGGAATAACCAGGTGGTGCACATTTTGGGGTTCAAATCGCGCTCTCGCATGGGCAGCGTTATACAAATTACAAAATCTAGGCCTCTAGAGTTTTGGCAGCGGCAAGCAAGCCAAATCGCGCTTTCACGGGGGTCCCGCTTGCAATGCTCGAAGTCACAAACTGTTTGCACTTCGTCCACATGTTGGAGTCTATGCCATGAAGCACATTTTGCCTGCCACCATGACTACTAAGCGCGCGTCTACTTTCTTTGTGCACCTTCTAACTATGTTACTAGTTAAACCTCCGTATGTAAAACCCCCAGGAGGTTGGCGGGATGGAGTGCGAAGGCCGCGGCGCTTTAGCGGCACAGCTTTCCATGAAGGCCTGTGCTGCGACTAACGTTTACAGTAAGGGTTTTACCGTTTCGGGTTGAGAACCTGTGGATTGGTCATGTGGTCATGATGCAGAAATCTCGCAGCAGCCATTCCAACTCTGCAAGGTTTGTTCAAGTTGCCCCCCTTCTGCAGGCGCAAAGTCCTGCGCCGAGCGGACTTGGGACGGGCTTTTCGCCGACGAGGACCGCTTTCTGGTAAAGCCATAGGCCCACGCGATGTAGGGAAGGACTTCGCCTAGATGGAGGGAGGGAGAGAGAGAGAGAGAGAGAGAGAGAGAGAGAGAGAGAGTGTGAGTGCAAAGCCCGCACAGTGGGAGAACAGGGGGTTTCGCACAGTCTGACTCGGTTGAGCACGCCCCTTGGGGCGACCTCTCTCCGGGGGGTCAAGTGCACTGGAAGGAAGGAAGGAAGGAAGGAAGAGAGCGAGAGAGAGCCAGAGAGAGCCAGAGAGAGCGAGCGAGAGCGAGCGAGAGCGAGAGGGAGCGAGAGAGAGCGAGCGAGAGCGAGAGAGATCATTCCGATGTTTCACTCCAACTGACTCGGTGGACCACTCGCCTTCGGGCGGCCTTCCCTCAATGGAGGGGAGGCTGTGGGTCAGGAAGGAAGGACATCGTTCCGAAAATGCGTCACTGATTCGCAGCCCGTTCAGAAGAGGCAGAGATCAGAGTGTTGAGGTTTGGGCAGGGCAGGTTCAAGGGCCTGTAATGGCCCATAGAAGCGAGAGCAGTACTATTGCTATTGAAGTTACGACTACGATTCTATTACTAGCACGAGTACGAACGAGTACGAACACGAGCACTATTTCAATCGCAGACCTCTTGGGTCAACCTATGTCAAGCTGACAACAAGCCGTCCCAACCACGCCAATGGCGGGAATGGAGGTCTTGGGTTGCACATTTGCCAGGGAACGCCTTTGCATTCAGTTTAAATTGAGGGCGGCTGTGCCTTCTCTTATTGTCCCGGGCACGCAAAGCTGTTCGAAAGAAAAGCGTATTCTCAATACATCGTCTTAGTTGCAACGATGATATCCTCGAGAAAATTGAGGCCAAGAGCCCTCCAGATGAAGATGAGCAGCCTCACGTCGCCGCGCTGATGAGACCTGCAAGCATTTCTTGCCGCAAACTACTGTAGGTGTGGCATTCTGTTTTTATGCTGGAATAGTGAATGATCGTCTCATGAGATTCTGCGTGTAATCTCCGTCTTGGATAACCCAGAATGCGAAGAGCCACTATGAGCCACTTTGAGCCACTTCTCCATGGCATGGCAAGGAACCTCCGCACTTTGGAGGGCGACTGGGTTTTGAACAAGGTGCCTGACTTCCCGATTTCTTCTGCAGCTGCAGGTTCGGGATATGTTTTAGAGTTGCGAGTTGTTTGAGGCTTTCTTGTGGGGTTGAGGATTGCTAGTAAAGGTCGCCATTCTCTTGTTTTTTTCGAAAGCTGAAGAACATTCTTTTCCACAACACGTCACACGCATACACACAGATTGCATCGTTGTCATCACAGTCAAGCTTCTGCAGGGGAAGAGTGAGCTGCTGGATCCGCTTCTGCTAGCAGCTTCTCCGCACAGATCCAACATGCCGCCAGCAGTTTACAGGCGACTCGTTTCACCTCTGCACTACGTAGCTGCCGTAGCTCAGTCATGAGACCGGTTTCGCTGCTTGGCGCCTTGGGGCTAGGAGGTGACACAGCTTGTTAAGTTTGAGTTTTCGCCTCTAAGCACTCCTTGAGCTTCATGATGAAATGATGCGAGCAAGAATGTTCCAGCTTCCCCTGCCCTTCCCCCCCCTTTCTGAAACGTCGAGAAAGGTTATGGACATCTCCTGGCATCCTGCACTTCCCACTCGCTGCGATCCACCTGCCGCTCGGCTCATGTTCCCTCGCATGTCTGGGATTGCTGGGGCCATTGACATGGAGAGTTGGATCTTGCAAATACATCCAAGGAGTACACCGAGTACCGCATTTCGGTGACGCGACATTTTTTCACGCCGGTTCACATGGGACATCCGCTGCCCCTCAGTCAGGATATGTCATAATTTGGTGCCATTTTGAATGGTACACACTTTTGAAAAGCGATTCGGACCTTACAGCTGAAACCTGCCTCACCAGCCGTATTAACTTGTGGAGTCTGAGCTGACAGTACATTGTCCAGGTACTCTGTCATCCCTCTGGATGGCTCTGTCGTCAAAGCTCCCAGGCCTAAACTGCGGCCACGTGACTTTCGTATAGCAGTGGCATGAGGTGATTTTCAGCTCCTTCCCCCAGTCGTTTCGAAAAGCACCCGGCATCCCACATTATATACTGAACTCTTGACTTGGTCCTGGGCATCTCTTGGATAAAGCGCTCCAGACTCAACATGGCCCAAACGCAGATTGGCAGACAGGTGACCAGAAGCGGCGCATTGACATTTTCGTTTTTCGCGACCGATGTAGGCAACCTGAAGACGAGGGTCGCTTTCATGATCTTTCATGCATACTACTGCATACTATGCACATGCGAGATTTTGGAGCCAGGCTCTTCCAAGTTGCAGCAGGGCTCGTTCAGTCTTGGCAGAACTTGAAACATGTTACTGTTCCTCCAAAGAGTCCGAAAATGTGCTCAAGCAGCCATGAGGTTCCTTCCCCTGCCGGGGGCACAGCGCAAGTGCGCTGCCTTACCCGCAGTCCGAAACAGGTGGTGGTGCTGTGGGCAAGGCAGGTTGAAGCCGAAACAGCCCAGTTCAAGCACTTGCGCAGCTAGAGCTGACTAAACAGCAGCATCTTGCCTGTTCGTGGTGTAGCGAGTCTGGCCAGAACTCTGGTTTCTCATTGCTTGGCGCGATAGATTTCGGAAGTACCCTGATGGTAAGCAAATTCTTTGCCATCATTCGCGGGCTTACCAAACCCTCGATAAACTCAACCCTTTCAGCTAGCCGGTGGTCGAAAGTTGCCTGGCCGCCTGGCCTGGAACGGATAATCGAAGGCAAGCATGTTTCCTTGTTCGGGGTTGCAAGCAGGAGCTGTCGTCCAAGCGTTTACAGATACATGCTATGTAAGCTGAAGGCCATCAGATCCGAGAGACCTCCGCTCAGGCCTTCGCACGTCGGTGGAAACTGCATGCAGGACTTCGAGCTTAAGACCTTTGCTAGCTCCAGTGACCTGGGACCTGGTGATTTGCCGGAAACCCTCAATGCACACGGCTGCCATCTGGAAACCCTAAAAACTTTTAACAGCATTGACAGGCACTTCGCCTTGTTGTGAGAAGGACACTTGGATCCTGCTTGATTCCGACCGAGCAACTCGCAGATTGGAGTATCGCGGCGCCTTGGACAGCTCCAGACATTTGAGGTGAAAAAACACCTGGAAAATCTTGGGGAGCCCCTGGTCGTGAAAGCGACTCTCGCGTCCATACTTAACGCTACACAGAGGTGCCCGATCAGAGTGGCGAACTCATTGGCAATGACTGCTGCCAGCGGCTTGCAACTTGCGCTGAGGAACCTGCATCACCTTGGAGTATGTTCGCAAGCGATGAAACGCTGAGCTGCAAGACCCGCGCGAAGTTCTGAGCGGCATTCTGGCAGGCTTCTGAATCCAGAAGCCTGCCAGAAAGTGCTCAGCTGTGTGTCTTCTTGGGTTGGGTTACAGACTCCAAGCCATCTTCAGAGCCTGTACAGATGCTCTCAATGCTCTCCCCAACTCTCCCATCCTTGCAGTGTACAGTCGGTCCCAGTTTTGTCACGCTTCTTGCTGTTACAAAACTCGTAGATCCGTTCACCATTTATTTGAAAGAGGCAGGCGGCGAGTTCTCGCACCGATGTGCTATGATGTGCTAAGCATTCTGGCTTCATCTGCTACTCCTGCTTCCAGAGGAATCACTAAGGGAAGTCACAAGAGGAGTCACTAAGAGGTCACTGAAAGCAGTTTTCAACAAATCTCTGGCAGCGGCTTTGTCCTTTTCTGCAGAAGTCGCATTTTTGCAGAAGCGCAAACATAGCCATGTCCTTTGAAGTGGCTTCGCCGGCTTCGCAGCCTCGCAGAGTCGCTGTAAAGACGTGGGGCTGAAGCACAGCATGGCGCAGTTCCAAAAAAGGTTTTTCCAGTTTTGAAAGAAGAGAATCCTTGGGCCCTTGTGGGCAGTCGTGCTGGGGGGGGGGGGGGGGGGGGGAGGGTTTTGAGTCTCAACAGGTCCCTTGGGGCTGCAGATTTATCCCAAACCTCCGTTTTTTCTTCGAGGCTCTCAAGGATCGAAGGACTGACGGGGGGTTTGTGTAGCATGTCAGGCTCCCCGTAAAGCATCCCGGTGTTTCTTAGCAGGGCCAGATGTGGTCCCACCGATCCAAGTAAAGGATTTTTTGTACAGAAGAGCCCCGAAAATGTTCTAGGAGAACCAGGTCTCGACGCACCCTGCTCTCTGAACGCCGGGGAAACAATTTGGGTGGCGAAAGCTACAGTGACAGCCGAAAAGTTGGAAGGCGTTCATCCAAATTTCCGCTCCGTTGAACATTGGCTTGCACAGCTTCCGAACTTCCAGTTCTTCCAAATTGACCCTTCCGACTTTGCATTTCTTCCAACTTTGACTCTCAAGAATCTTGGGAGTTCCGTTTCAAATGCAATTTTTAGTGTCCTTGAGGCTTTGACCCCTGAACATTTGAGGTTTTCATTGAACACTGCGTCTTTGGTGCCTGGATCTGAAAATTCAAAGTTCTTGCAGCCGGTTGGTCCTTGGGTCCCTTGTTTGGTGTCTTAGCCTCAAGAACATTCCTGAAAACTTCTCTCACAACATTTGTGTTTGTCTCATTCGTGTCTTTTGGTCTTTTTTGGCCTGGAATTCAAATCTGACTCCACAACTATGATCTCTGGAAACTTGACCTCTCAATTCCATTTGTTCATGAAAGCCGTGCTGAAATCTCAAATTCAAGTTTCTCATGAGCACTTCTGCTTTGGTGCCTTGTCCTTGAAAATTCTGATTTCCCGTGTCTTTTGATGCCTTGACCTGAAAATACCAAGTTTTCATGAACTCCTTTGGTCCACCAAATTCGAAGCTTACATGAACATTGAAATTCGTGTTTTTGCTTGTCAATGTTTGCGTTCTTGTCGCCTGAGACTCATGTTTCCTGACGAAGGGCATCTTCCAACTTTCGCAATTCAGTCCTTTGTTTTGCGCTCATTTCAAATTCAAATGCTCTCATTTGAAGCCGTGTCCTTTGGGTACCTCCCTCAAAGAAATCAAGGTTTCATGAAAAGCTTGCCAAAATTGCCTTTTTGGTCACCCCTTTAGTCAAAAACACTTGGTTCTCAGATGCAGTGACGTCCAAAATCTAAGTTTCATGCACATTTGTCCTTTGTTTTTTGTATTTCAGTTTTGTTTGGTGCCCTCACTTCAAATTCAACGTCTTAAATGAAGCCGTGTCCTTTGGCGCTCCGGCCTCAAAAGTTGCCAAAAACTGTCCTTTTGGTCACTTGACCTAAAAATTGAAGTTTCTCATGAACACTGTGTCCTTTGGTGCCCTTGACCCTCAATATTCAAGACTTTCATGAATACTGTGTCCTTTGGTTGGCCTCCAAATTTCAAAAACTTGGTTGCGCTCATGTTTCATGATGAAGGGAATCTTCCAAGTTTGAAATCTTCCAACTTTCAGATTTCAAGTTCTCATGCAATCCTCCGCCTCAAAATGTTCCAATTGCCATCTTCCGCTGGGCCTTCGGCGGATTCTCAGCTTAAAGCTTGAGGACGGAGTCCTCACATCTTCAACAGCCCCAAGTAGATCGGCCACCACAGTGCCGCGCCGCCAAGGTCAGGTCACTGGCTTATCAAGGCTGCCTTGGCGATGGAAGCTATCTAGCCAGGGCCTCGGGTTTTCAACCCGCTATGCCAGAGATATCACAACGGCTCTTGAACCAAAGTCCTCTTAGCAGCTTAGCACATTGCCACTCAGATCTTGCGGCTCCATCAGTGGCTGGGAGCTCGGACCTGCTCAGTGAAGCCAAGAAAGAGAGAAAGAGAGAAAGATAGAGAGAGAGAGAGATCGCTTGTCGCTTACTTGTTGGTTGCTGGGTGTCGGGTGTTGGCTGCTTGCTGTTTGCTGTTGTTTGCTGTTGTTTGCTGTTGATTGCTATTTGCTAATTGCTGCTGAGTCTGTTTGTCTGTCTGTAAGTGTCTCTGTGTGTGTGTGTTGTGTTGTGTGCATCCTTGTGCTTGTTTGTTTGTGGTTTGTTTGTTTTGCTTCAGGCTTTAAGCCCATCGAGCCCTCCAGTGTCTTGCAGTCACCATGTTGTTAACTTCAAGACGCAGGGCAAGCCTTGGTGCAGTATAAGTTGTGAGGCATCAACGTCAATTTCGGCCAGCGTGAGTCTAGCAAACAGTAAGATTTGACAACCCGAGTTGTGGTTTGCAACCATTATTAATAAACCCCAAAGGAACCCCTCAGAAAGCTTCTCCGATCATGGCTCCAGGGGCTGTAGGAGACTAGGCCCCCTAGAGAGGGGCCCTAGAGGGCCCCTTTTTGGGGCCCTGTGGGCCATGGCTCGGAGCCGCCCAGACGGTGCCAAGTGCCTCAGCTACAGCTTGCGATGCCCTTGAGCAGAAAATGGGTGTTGTGAAGTTTAGCAGTTTAGCTACAAGGCGCGCTAGAGCAGGGGGACCCAGCTGAGGATCAAGAAGAGGCCAGCTGAGCAGCCGAAGAAGCCGCCGCACGCGACGGATTCCCGTCGCAAGCCGAAGAAGAGGCGCTGGAAGTGACAAAGCTGATGTTATCCTTCGCCTACACAGGGTCTCGAGCTAAAGAATCCACAAGAACAGGAGTAGAACAATGCCATGAGTGGTCAGGACTGTTCTAGACTGAGGTCACCTCGCAATATCTCAGACTTCTCAGCCTGGCATCCGGAGCTTCAGAAATACCAGAATCCTCGCTCCAAATCCAATACTGACATCTCCTGAAAACATCTGAAAACCTCAGGCTGAAACTTCCAACACTTCCAAATATACTCTCATATTTTCAAAGTATACAGGCCAGCGGAGCACGCAAAAGCGCGAGAGGCAGAGCCAGCGCCAGCGCCAGCGGAACCTTGGCTGCAATAGCAAACCAATAGAAAACAGATAGAAACCAGATAGAAACCAATAGAAAACCCATAAACACCCATAGAACACCAATAAAAACCAATAGAAAACCGATAAAAACCAATAGAAAGCCAATAACACACAATAAAACCCAATCGGAAACCAATAGAAAGCCAATAGAAACCAATTAGAAACCAATGGAAGACCAAAAAACCATAGAAAACCAATAACACCAATAGAAAACAAATTATTCTAAACCAATCAAAAACAATAAAACCAATTGAAAACCAATACAGTAAATTCTATTGGCTTGTATTGGGTTTTATTGGTTTCTATTGGTTTTTGTTGGTTTTCTATTGGGCTTTCTTGGTCTTTATTGGTTGCTATTGGTTCCCTATTGGTTTTCTATTGGTTTCCTATTGGGTTGTATTGGGTTTTATTTGTTTTCTATTGGTTTTCTGTTGGTTATTCGTGTTTATTGGAATAGGGTTGGTTTTCTTTTGGTTTTTCTTACTGGTTTGTTTATTGTTTTTTTTGGTTTTCCATTGGTATGTAGTGGTTTTCTATCTCTGATTGCCAGGAATATTCAGTATTGTATGATTGCATAGATTTCGAGGCCAGTACCAAGAAAACACCTCCCCACACAGGCGTCACACCCAAGCCCCAGGCACCCACGACTAAACTGACAGATTAGCCTTGATGGAACAACAAGCAGTAGTGTCTTTCCGCATCTCCTGTGCACGCCCTTCAAAGGCATACTTCTCCCCAGGACATTCGTAGCTTATCTTCGCTTCTCCTAGCCTTGCCTAGCTTTCTCAGTTTTCGTGCAGGTTGCCTTGGCACGCTTTGAATTTTAGATTTTTCCGCTAATCTAAAGAGGTCCTACTCAACGGCTTTGCAATTGTTTCTTAAACTTTTGAACCTTTTCAACCATTTCAAGTTTTTGGCATCCTCTCTGGAATTGACTACTTTTGGTTTTCCAAAGTTGTCGACCCTTAATAGACTAGCATGCTTAACCGCTGAACAAATTAACAAGCGAGACGGCAAACTTTTTAAGCGTTTGAAAGGAGAAAGCAAGCCTTGTATATGGCTCTTGTCAGTCTCTTTGAAAATTTTCCATGAAACTATTAGTTTGAAAGTCCCAAATGCTAATCTCATCTGATATTCATGAAAGCCCAGGAGACCTCGACTCTCGCTGCTGAAGCCTCGGAGGATGAGTTGCACTTCAAGGCGAAGAAGCCGAAACATGCCTTTCGAAGCAAGGCCCGGGGGGTTGGGAACTTGAAAAAGGCAACGAGGGGAATTTGCGAGCTACTTCTTTTTCTTCTTCCGAGTTCTCGGTCTGTGTGTGTGTGGGATACGGCTGCCCCATCCTGCTGTCCGCAGTTGCTTCTAAAGGTGGATCCAAAGGCGCCGCTGCAGAGGCGGCTGCTGCAAGAGATCCACGAGACCTTGCCAGGTTTTAGGTTTATCCT